CAAAGAGGAAAGAGCGTGTGTCATGGCGTTAGATTGCTGCCAATAGATTATAAGTTCCATATTTAGTCTTTGGGTGTATGTTCTTTATATACTGTCATATGCAACATGAGTTATAGGGACGTACTTAGGAGACGTTTGCCCAGAAATCTTCATGTACCGAGCTTGTCTACCGGAAATCATACTATAGTATACCTGTTCGACTTCCAAAACGTCTTACAATGCTAGGGATTTGGCATACTCTAATCCTTGAGTGTGCTGTTTATTACTGCGATGGTTTACGGATCATGTTCGAAATTCCGAAAGGAAAGGAGAGTCAGAAAATAGATTTCATGTTCTATAGTGAGTTGTGTAAGTTACAGAGTTCAACAATGAGATTCTATTAACGTAACTTGAAATAATCATGAAAACCAAGGGCGAAATGATTGAAAGCTTCATCGAGAAGATGAGCAGAATAGAAAGGCGAGTGATCCACGAAAGGAATCAGCTGGTCGTTACGGCTGTCGAGGGTTGATTTTATATCAAATAAGTACACTCGATATATCGTTGAATGGTTTTTCCTGGTTTGCCATATAAGAGAATTAAGACATCTCTTCATATTAGCTCAAAGTATCATGTTTCATGCGGACGTATATGCGAGATGGCAGGGATACGACAGTTTGTGTTTTGGCCAGGATAGGGAAACAATGTAAGCCGAGCTGTAAACTGATATAAATTGAAGTATCAGAAGTACTGGTCTATTGAGGTGAGATGTTTGATAAATCCTTTTGTAATACCACTGCAACAACCGTTCCCCAGATATTGACTACTTTTATCCTCCCGAACAAGAAGCTTGTTGTTTTCTTTCGTCATCAAGGTTGCAGAGAAATCGATATGCGTACGAAGATGATAAACATTGCAAAAGAAAAACCTCGTACCGAGAAGTAAATGGGTGGGTTCTGATCTCAAGTCATGGAAAGACGCGTAACAAATTTCGGTCTCGGGATTGTGACAGTGACGTCACACTTGTATTTCAAGTCTTTCTTGAATCCAGGTCCTTGTCCATCTCCATCCTCCGCACGATTTCTTCAAAAAGAATAACTGGCGGGTAATCTTGTTTGATGCAGGTTTATGAATGTGTCTTAATCATGCCATTACAACACAATAAATATGACCAGCATCACCCTGCGTGGTTGCGAAGTGGAGCAATTAAGTCAATCACAAGTGCCGTCGTGTCGCACTTTGTCGACGCTAATCACATTGTAAACGTGACCGAAGCTCTCCGACCCCTGTATAGAGTTAAGACGGGATGGTCTAGACACGTGCGGTTTCGCATTCTAGCCACAGCGGAGGCAGTTTCCATCCGTCTCCACAACCCCCTCTGTGTTCAGAAACAATTTGTGCAAGCACTCAAGCTCCCATGGCCGGATCGCCGACAAGTGACTTGTTATGCAACATTGGAGCAAGTGATAATTGGGGACCAATTATGAAACAAACTCTTAAATACTTTAATTACTTTCCCTCTCTTTTGCCTTGTAAATCCTTCTTTGATACTAGTCATATTTATTGTGTTCTAATGGCATGATTAAGACACACTGAAAACGAGCTTGTTTGCCAATTTGTGTTCTCATTATGAGCTCCGTGGGACCTTTTAAACGTTTATGCATGTCTTCCATCCAAACACAAGACTAAACTGGTCGGAGGATAATAGTACACTAAGAAGTGTCTTCATCATGCTAGTAACTTCTCAATGATGACAACGTTTTTTCACGAATTGCATCCGTTTTAATTTTATTATTCAACAGATTGAGTAAACAAGCGGTTTATGCTTTCCTGACAAGGATAGCCATTTCAGAAACACGTCGCAGGTGAAGACATTTTCCAGCTACAATGAGAAATGAACGTTTTTTAATAACCCTCCTCGAGTGAAGTGGACCTCGCAATTAGTTACTTTAAAAATATACTAAGAAAGGGTAAAATTAAGTTAAAAAAATGGAGTTGGAGAAATTGAAAAATGCACATGACAATAAGACTGAGAAAATAGCTACAGCAACAGATCGGCACAGGGTTCGATCAGAATCTATCGAGTTCTGATCCATACAACAATTGATAGAATCACGGAAACCGAGTGCACCACTGTATTCAGCTCTTCACTTCTTGGTTGAACGACACAACTACATTTATTCCCCATTGTTTACGAGCCCTTTGTGTACAAATAAACCTCCTTCATTGTTCCGCTGTCACCTATCCCATTTAGTGTAGGTAGGCGGTAGACAGGAACTGCTGTTCCTGCTGTTACCGAAGAGATTCATCTTCCACAGAACAAAAATGCCAGTTTATTTTATATTCCATGTGACAAAGAAAGAAGTGGGGTGAAGGTAGAAACAGAAATAGATGCACCATCGGCAAACGGATTTTTCCCGACGGGAAGCCCCGGATTGCGTGCCTAATGATTCAGAACGGAAATCAGTTTTGGGGAACGTCGAGGCTAATGAGACTGCACGATTTCCGATGGCCTTTACAATTGTGTCTCTAACGTGAAAAAGCAGAAGAATAACGGAAAGACCATTTTTGGCAAACAATTCACAGTTTTGAATGTTTCCAGTAATTGAAGCAATCAAGAGTGATGAAATTTACGCTACCAAATTAGGGAAAGCAAATTCGAAAAGGCACTGGTTATGTGTGGTAATTATGTTACCTTTAGAGAATTGGAAAATGTGTAACCAATTACAGTTTTCCGCTGCATTCAAAAGTTAATGCAACGGTTTGATGGGTCGTCCATCTATTGTTTTCAACAAAGATATTGAATTTTGTTATTAAAAATTCCTACGTGAACACACCCATAATTTTATTCCTACATATGACATATAAATGAGAATGACAATGCAAACCTTTAGAATAACTACTGTATAAAAGAATAAATTTACCGACAAATTGTCACCGGAAATTCACAGAACCGCGCTGGGTTTAGGCTGGAGTAATTATTCGATTTATGGGACAGGTATGTGTTATCGAAGCCTTTGTTTTATGCTCTTTTCGAGTAGTCAAAGATTCTTTGTTTATTGCATCTGTGAATTGTTTTTGTGAGGTGGTTGCAATGTTTTGAAACGTGATTGTGTGTGTGTGTATGTGAGTGGTTTTTACCATCCCCCAGTTATCAGGCAACGATTCGGTAACCGTAAATACATTGCATTGTTCCACCTAAGAAGTGCACTATTCAACTATTGAACAAATGCAGTTTTCGCTACCTGTGCTCTGCCCGCGACAACATTTAATCACCTAATCGAAGTAAATGCCCCATTTTTTCGCTTGAACAATTGTCATGATGAGAATGTTTCCAGTAGTTGATGGTTATAGAAGATCAGGTTGGAATAAGCGAGGTGAGGTGCTTAATGCTGGTTTACAAAGATCTGCTGTGCTGTATTACCGATGGATAAGTGATGATTTGCTCGACTACTTGGTGGTCGAGTGAGTAGCGTGGTTGCGTCCTACCTATTTTGTCCAGGATTCGCACTGATGATGAAAATAACCAATGAGGCTGAAGCACAGGTAAAATTATTATATTCCAGCTTTCCTTTGTTCACTTTATACAAGATAAAAACAATAGGTTTCACGGTACACGTTCTTCCTTTTCTTTCATTTGTTTACCATTTGGAACTTCTTTCCAAGACGCATCATCAAAAAAATGGAACAATTATCTCAGGATTAATGAGAGAGAGTATATGTAATTACTTTGCTGCAAAGACGCAACTGTCACATCCTCATTTTTTGCCCAATTTTCAGTTCATATGAAATCGTTTCCGGATACTGGTGCACAACTGACTGCGGTTTACGTGGATCGATTTTATGGACAAACTGTAGACGGACGGTTGAACACTTTACGTACGGGGGATCGTATTTTGTCGGTAAGTATACGCCCACGGTCGGATGATCTGTTCAACCAATTATTTATGATAAAGGAGCGTTACAATATGGTGAATGAATAACGGGGTGAGCCTACTGCACGCAGTGGACCAGTAAGCATGTCGCAGAAAGGTGATGCTGTTTCTTTTAATTCGATGCTTGATAAATTAGTTTCTGGTCCCATGGAGTTGTTTTATTTTTTTCGGAGCTTCAGGTCATCTCCTGTGATGAAGATCCCTAGTTTAGTCTTCAGTTCCAGATTTTTATATTTTGAGCTTTGACCCGGGGAAAACCGAAACTCCTCGGACAAAGTAAACATCTCACCTTAAGTTCTGGTTTCCCAAATAGAAATCTTACATAGTTTTACTCTTCCGAACGCGGTTAATTCTATACCATGAGCTTATGAACACTTTATCGGGAAGCTCTAATCGTTCCTCTTTGCTTCTTGCATTACTGTTGAACAGCACAGTTACCGCTACATGCAGAATTGGGACAAATAGAGAACGTAAGTGAAAAGACTGGGTATCTCTAGTTAACAGGTGGCTCGAATCGCACTGCATGACAATACTTTCAGGTGGTACATGCATATTCCGAAGTAGGTGGGTGATATGTTAAGGACGGCTTGCTTAGCAGAGGCAAACGGGCCCGTTGTGCAAATGTAAAAATTATGTATCACTCAGGATTCGTACAGGTGCAGTTCTGTTTCGTTCCAGCCAACTGCATCTCAGTAAAAAGCTAATTTGCGTTTGAATTGAATTCACCTTTTTGTTCCTAGCTTATCGGTGCCAAATCAAACCTAGATTCTTCCTAAAAAGCTCACAGTGTCCAAACGTGTATGACCTTTACCTTTGGCCTTCCCTGGTTGTAACCAATCACAGGCAGCATACACATACTGTACACAATCACACACACACGGTTACTACTAATTAGACTTCTTAATTCGTTTCATTTGTCTATCGTGTTCAATGTTATACGTACACGACTGATGAGAGTATATGAAAGGAATTCGTCTCGCACTGTTTATCTTCTGACTTGTCTGTTCAAACTTTGATTCACCTGTAAATTCCGTATGCACAACAATAGTTTTTAGTAGTTGAGTTCGAGCGTTGTCTTCCCGCACAGCGGAAAACCAACCGTAACTAGATGGATCCGTTTGTAGTCATGCCCAAGAGCACCTGATCACTGCAACGACCCAGGAGAGCGTCTATTTGTGAGAAACATTTGAAGTTTTTCAGACGACGGAAGTAACGGTTTTGTATCTCTAATTAACAAGAATTTTTTGTCACTTGAAAGAGGGATTATTAGAAAACTGTAAGAATAATGCTGCTGAAAACAAAACCTGCCCAAATGGGCGGTATATCCAAGATTCACGATTCTAAAGGTGTATATCCATAGGTTACAGATTGAGGTTTGTTTGGCTTTCTCTTGTTTTACCAAGTTTCAGTGATATATGTGTAGGTGTGACCGACGTATCAACACCACGTGAGCTTCATGTTTATTCCAGACGACATGGATTGGGATAACCGTTAACCGATCACACTTGGGAATCAAGAAAGACGGGTATCAATCGTTGATTATGTTGAAATCCTAGAGTCAACACAGTTGATCAGGCGGATTAGTACATTATTCCACGGTTGGGACATTATGCTCCACAATCCCCTAAAGCTTTTCCTATTTCAGGTGCACTGTACGACTTCATTTGCGATTGATATGTACTCGAAAATTACGGCATAAAGGATGGAGGTAGCAGTTGAGATACCTAGCGTGATTTGATTGCTCGATAGTTATTAAAACAGACTAAAGATTGCACATGTAAGATGTAGACCAGTGGAATCATAACAACTTTTATCAAAATCGGATACATTCAAGCAAAGGTGTAGTTTCGCTATAAAGTGATCGAAGGATAGTTAATTGAGAACCCGGAAGAAAATAAACACTAGTGTCAGGTCTAAGTACTAAGGTGAATACATTGACCCATCTGGAAATCTAGCGGAAGCCTATTCCCCAGCAGTTATTCAGTCTATGCACAACAGAGCACAGTCACTCTGTGCAAACCTAATGCGAACGAATGAGATTATCAGAGAACGGAGAAATAAACTTTGAGGAAAGAGACTCGGTGGCGACGATTTCTTACACTATCAAGCAAAGCAATTTGTTCAGAGGTTTGGCTTTTGATCTTCTGTTGGATCGAAGCATCCACATTGTTCATTAAAGCTAAACAAGATTTTCATAGACCATTACGTAGATGTTGTTCTGAGGTAATCTATGTTTTTTCAGTTTGTTTATGCTTACGAAAACACTTAGTTCGTGAATTCAACCGAAACATTTCACGCTTTCCTGGGATGTGACCCACACGACGATGCTGAAAAAGACATTTATGCATCGGTCTTGAATCCCAATAATTATCAGGGTAACTACATTGCAATATTACCATGGTCACCTTGAGCAAGCATGTGGGCACACACCACTTCCGTTAGTTTGTGCAAACATAGTTCGAGGTATCAGATTTCGGGGGAACGATACACGTACCGCATTGCCCAATGTAGTTTCTTCTTTTTCCTTTTTTAAACCGATCACCCCTGGTAGTCTTATTCCTATGCGCTTTGTCTATTCCCGTCTCACAGGTCAATGGAAATTCATTGCAGAAGTTGAATGCGGAGCAAACCAAGGCGTTATTGCAAAGCCGGCATTCGGAAAGTATGCGCCTAACCGTTCAAAGACTCCATGAGGTTACTGAGGTGAGTGAGAGTTCACATAGCAGTGCCACACTAAATGAAAACAACCAAAAAGCGAAATTCAGGAAGCACGGAGAATCTTGAAATTTTGGGCAAGTTTGACAAAAAACTTGAGATCAAAAGATATAAGTAATTTGAAGGTTTTTGGAAAAATTGACATGAACACGTCTAATTGCGTTCCTAACCATAAATAATGATTGAAAGTTATTGAATTTAGGTTTCTAAACAAACGATCATTTGAGTTTGGTATTGATTGCTGGCAGTTTAATGCAAAAATCATTACGGAGTATGATGAAAAACTACTGCGCTTTAAAACGAATGAGGTATCACTGTGAAATACTTATGCGCACAAAAAACTACGTTATTTTCTGGGAATTCGTGGTAGTCATTATTCATCTTATGGCAAATGTGTATCCCGATTCTATACAAAAATATATACTTTCTAGTAATCTTCACAACAGGTTTTGGATCAACGTGATAGGAAAAACTGAATAAGAACACTATCAACCTCAAACAGTCTGATACACGTTCCAGCAGCATGTTTTAAGTCTCTCCTGTTCACGTAGAGCGAGTAATGTATCGTGAATACTGTATGCATACGTTTTGTTGCAACATTGTGAAAGCAGAAGCCAAAAATCGTTGTGAATTTATCAGGCTTCCTTTCAAACAGAGTTTGAAAGGGTGCTCAATTGCTGACCAAACGTACTGTCGTTTTGTTTTCGTTTTCTTTTGGATGATCTGTAGTACGAAGCAAATTCAGAGAAAATAGTATTTCTCTGTGAATGAGTCGCGGAAATGAAGGCAGTGTCTCACCAATCGATATTGTTCATGGTGATGCAAATAACGCTTTCATATGTGGATAGACTGATGGATCTATTCCACTCTGAATAGTAAAATTCCAGTTTGATTCGAGTCCCGTTGGCAGCAAGATGAATGGATGATCATGGGAAAATGTTCATTACGAGGGACGGTCGACTGAAAGAAAACTACATTGTTTCGACAGAAACTGAAACAAAACGTTCACAGTTATTTGAATTATGGAAGATTGGAAGCCTCTTCAGAGTCAAAACTACGCACACCCGACGGGTACACCTTTATACGATCTACGGCCTTCTTGCTGAGCGACATGCATGAGTATGTTCGACTCCAGTCAGACCTCCTGACCCCTCAAAACTTAGAAAAGTAAATTGGATAAAACCGAATCGGCTCCACAACCCTAGAATTAACATGTAGAAGTTGTCCGAATTCTTAATATATAGTGTTGCTGATTTTACTGTGTAATTCAATTGGAAGGAACCAGTGATTTGTGCAAGTGCAGACCCCGGAAGACACTTCAGTGTTAACACTTATCTTCAGGGATGACAAATTTCGATTCCGATTCCGACCATCCTTCGCATTTCTTCTTCACACACAAACCTCACTTCATCCAGTTAACCACACAGTCTGGAAGCACTAAACTCCACTTACTTTCCCCTTCCCATCCTAGACCATTTCTCACAGATAGCTGTGAGGCAAATGTGAAAACATATGTTCGTAAAAAGCGAAACCCACAATGAATGAGTAAGACACAACACTTTCCCAAAGGAGGGACAAACGAGTTAGAATTATAATCGATACGATGGCTCGGAACGTCAAATGGGTTCCCGTTCAGATACACATGCACGCTCGGAGAAAAGCAAACAGAATTTAGAAAAGCAATAGGTCAATGAAAATTTCACGCCTAGAGATCATAGTCCAAGTTAAACAGCAGATGCGTGTGTGCATATAAAGATAGAGGGAAGTTCATGACCATCACAGTAAACGCTGGACAATGGCCGACACAATCAATACGCCCGATGAATCATCTCAAGTACAGTGCGCCTTACCAGGACGGATATAAATCGATGGGATAGGAAGGAGAGCAGTAGACAATGTACAAGTGGGTAAGCTGTCAAATCTGAGAATGAAGAAGACTTTTTCCGTTGAGGATCAGAAGACAAGCACTTTGTTATTTTAAGGAATATCACTGCGCTAACAGATGACCGATTGATCAGTCGCAATCGTTACAGTCCTTTAAAACCACATAATTTCGAAAAAAGATGGAATGCGAAAGGATTAGGTCTGTTCCTGGCACGTGGTTGCCGTTCGAAACTGAAAACGAGGACGGAATGAACCGACACAACTTTAAAGGTCAATGATATTTTTCTCTGAGAAACCGTAACATCTCAAACTGACTATTGACAACCAATGATGATTCCATCAAACACATAATCTGAATTACTGTATTTTGCACTTTATTGTTACGAACTATTTTTATCCAATGGACCCTGAGCCTGCAATGATCTTTGATATATACGTAGACGCGTTATCCAATTGGGAGCATTTCACTATCGAAAATTCTAATCGGGAATTATGGGAAGTGGGAGAAAAAGTATCGCGGTAAATCTTACTGAGGATATTATCCGAAAGCGTTAAAACTGTCTTAGAAGTGAACTTTTGGGTATAAGTTATATCTGAACCCCTTTTTCAAAATGCAACCTGATTGCACACAGAAGATAATGAAATTTTTACGAGCATTTGGCAGTCGGCCAATCAACTATAAAAACGTGTGCGGAGATTTCAATGCGGCCAGGGAGAGAACGTCTCCGACGACCAACCATACCAATCGTGAAAACAATACTGCTCATTTTCTGCGTGAAATGTGTCAACCTGTTCGGCTATTACCGAATGCTTTGAAAATATTTTGAGACTATCAATTCATTGTCAAACAATTTGCTCCAGTAAATTGGGTATTTTTCTTCATATCATTATTCGGTATACTGTACCGCAAAATGGGCGATCATTAATATTCCATCTCCTCAGTCAGCGTGAAATTAGGCTTGGATTACTTTTAGGTGATAGTTGATGGCAAACGAATGTTTCAGTTCAACCAAATGCATCATTCACTAAAGGTTCAACCAGAGGAATAGGGGCGATACAATTTCGTCTCGAAATACTACTCAGACCAAAGGAGACGCATTTTGCTTGGGAATTCGCATTGGAAGCTTTCGGCTAGGCAACCGAGCGGTTATTGAAAATCGTTATTCATTGAGGGTCCAATGTCCAGTCCATGAGAGCATACACCCTTTGGACACAGTCAAAAATCGAAGGTGTTGGTGGGCAGTTCCACGCTCGCCCTAATCCTTATGTCAATCCTGAGGTGAATCGTTACTACAAGCCCCAGTGTTAAGGTTACCAGCATATCAAAACAACACATCAAAGGTTTATCGATTACTCAATAAATTGTTTCACGCACTCTGGGGTTGCTTTCACCAACATTGTGTATTGACTGCAGGACTGACTCTGTCCATTGTTAGCTTGAACCTGCCCCCTAGATAGGTTCTTTCCTCTCCGAAAATTGCCTTAGGGAGATATTATGCATCCCCAGTTGCCCCACCATACTCTCTATTCACCCGTTCTGTTCAAAACTGGTTCATGTTCGTTCGTTAACCGTTCGACACCAGTTGCATTTCTATCTGACATTGATGCTTCGAATTACAAGTTTCAGTTAATCGAGACGATTCCTCGTACTTCATCCCTTTCTGTGTTTCGTCATTGTTCAGTGATTGCTAAGGGTTTTAATGTCCTTTAACTGTACATTCGAAACATTTTGCAATGAAACTGCGAGGTGAATTACATGCTTATATCAACAACTAGTAGCTCACTGTGGTAATTCGGCAACCATTTACCCCAAAACGGCAGCGCCAGCATTTGTATACAATTCATCACCTTCGGTTGTCTGCAACACCGGTATCCTCGGTCGTACAGAAGATTGCAGGTACACCGTTGACTTGGTAAGTTCCAGTCCCTCTTTTCTCGGATTTATCTCCAGCTTTCCCTCAGACTATTGGATCACTAATGTACCACCCTTAATTTTCACATTCCAACTCTCGTCCCGATATTTTCTCGCCGCACATCCCAGCGTTGCAAGTATGTCACCCTTTTCCTCAAGCGATTATGCTTTTCCTCGCTATCCATCCTCGTCAGACGTCAATACACGTGATTACTCCCCATGAAAAAAGAGCTTCCTTGGGTTTTTAACAAAGAACCCTTGTTCTCGCACAGCCTATGCTTTTCGAAGTTGTCGTTATTTACCAATTTTCTCTTTTCGCCGCTGCCATTTGCAAACTTGGAACAGGTGCTCAACTTTATTCCAGAAAAAAGAATACAAAATAATTTACCTCAAACGTATTAGATGTGCATACTGTCATTCCTTCTGGTTATTTAACAAAGCAGTTGGCGTTATCTCTTTCAGATAAGAGTGCTTCTGGTGATCTAATCTAGGATTTCGCCAAAAAGGCTGAGGTCCTTGTCTTTCGTTTTACCTCAGGCTCTACCATGGCTACAACTACCACTCCTTCTCACCCGTTTCCCACCACAAATTTCCCCAAAACTAACAACCAGCAGTAGCCATATCTCGAACGAGGGTCCCCTTTTTGACACTTCTTTTGTGTTCAGCTTGAAACCGTTCTTCTTGTTACTGCCCTGTTTCTAACATTTACTATTCAAACAGTTGTATATTATCATACGGTTGCTTCCTTGTCCCTTTTCCACCGATATCAATGCGGAATTCCTCTCAAGAAGCTTCCCAAGACACCCTTGTCAGGAGGCTCTAACAGCCCATAGAACAGCATGTTACAGATTGCCTTCGCCAGAGCAAACTGACGGAATGGTAGAGCACTATTTCGATCCTCGTTTTTCTTCCCCTGTATAATTCGCGTATGTACAGATGTCAAAACGCCAAGTTGCCTTTTGGACGAATTCTCATTCTCCACATGCAAACAGTAGTCTATATTTGTCTAGTGTGACCCCTAACTGAACCTTGTTCTTTTTGAGCAATAAAACCCACACGTTGATATCCAAACAACCCCGTGAACACTGTCGGAATCAGGAAGGTGTATCTATGGTTCGTATGCAATCTCTTTCATCAGTTTGGAATCAAATGTTTTGCCATATCTCTGGACGAACTACCGTTTCGGCTTTTC